TTGAGAGTACCATGGACTGCTAGGAAAATAAACAGATTCATCCTGGAAAGGGTTAAACCGGGTAGCTCCTTGGAGGCAAGGATTCTGAGGCTCCGTCTAACACACTTTGGACACATTGTGAGGAGAGACCGGTCCTTAGAGAAGGACATCATGCTTGGTAGGGTGGAGGGACAGTGCAGGAGAGGAAGGCCCTCTGTGAGGTGGATTGATTCAGTGACAGGGATAATCGGGATGGGAGTGTCAGAGACAGTGTGATTCGCACAGTACAGAGCAGTGTTTAGGGCTGTTGTACATAGGGTCTCTCTGAGTCACAAGTGACTCGACGGTACATAACAACAACAACAGGTTAAGGGAGCAAAATCATACTTAAGTCCCAAGATGCATGTAAACATATACTTAATTTTAACCTATTTCAAACTTAGATAAAAATGAACTAAACTTTTGGTAGTGAGCTGATGTGGTGTAGAGGTAAGAAGATTGTGCTACCCACTTAAAAGTGCTCACTTCAAATCCAACAGCTCCTCCATGGGAGAATGATGGGCAAGCAGTTCCTTCATACTACCTCTGAAAACCGCTAGAGGATCAGCTATGAACCAGTCCCAACTTGACAGTCATAACAACAACAACAAACAAGAAAGAAAAGTTTATTCCTCACTGATATGTAGTATCGGAAGCAGTAGTGGCATCTACTTCCCAAATAGCTTGCCTCCGGAAACTATGAACATGGAGAAATGATGAAAGCTATTAAAGTGTTCAGGTCTTTCTTTCATAGGGTGGCTATGACTCGTCTTTGACTCGATGGCACCTAACAACAACAATATGTAGTAAATACATACTTACATGCAGGTTCAAGCTGAAGCTAAGGAAAATGATATCAAATCCACAGAACCCAAAATATGACCTTGAGTCTATCCCACCTGAATTTCAGAACCATCTCAGGGACAAGTTTGAGGCCTTGGCCGCCAGTGAGAGAAGAACAGATGCGTTGTGGGAGGATATCAAGGGTATCATCCAGGAAGAGTGCAAAAGGTCATTACAAAGACAGAAGGAGAAAGAAAAGACCAAAATGGATGTCAGAAGAGACTCTGACTACTACACTAGAGCACCAAGAAGCCAAAGCAAAGGGAAGAATTCAAGATATTAAGGAACTGAACAGAAGATTTCAGAAGGCAGCGTGGGAAGACAACGTAAAATATTACAATGAAATGTGCAAAGGAGCTAGAGTCAGAAAATCAGAACGGCCGAACTTGCTCAGCATTTCTTAAGGTCAAGGAACTGAAGAACAAATTCAAACCTGAAGTTGCCATACTTAAGGATGCTTTGGGCAGAATATTAATGATCCAGGAAGTATTAAAAGAAGATGGAAACACAAGAGTCCACAATTAAGGTTGCATAGTAGAATGTACTTAGGGCGGTGGGAGAGGTGCGGGGGTATTGTGTACCAGGGAGTGAGTCTTTCTTTTACTTTTGAAAGAGAGGAGCGAACTTGGGAGGCGGGGAGAGAGGGCTGGGCGGGTAGAGAAGTGCAGCAATGAATGAATGGAAATCTAAATTCTCTGTAAATGTTCATTAAAATTATTTTAAAAAAAAGATGGAAAGAGTATACATAGTCACTGTATTCCGAAAGGAATTGGCAGACACGGAAGAATTTCATGCACCAACATATGTACAAGAGCCTATGGTGATGAAGGAAGAAGTTCAAGGTGCTTTGAAGGAACTGGCAAAAAATAAGGCCTCAGAAATTGATGGTATACCAATTGACGTATTTAAACTAACAGATGCTGTCCTAGATGTGCTCACCAAGTTGTGTCAAGATATCTGGAAGACAACCACTTTGTCAACTGACTGGAAGAGATCTATATTTGTTCCCATTCCAAAGGAGGGTGATCCATCAGAGTGGGGAAATTATCAAATAATGTCATTGATATCACATGCACGCAAGATTCTGCTGAAGATTATCCAAAAATTACTGGAACGGAACATCAACAGAACTGCCAGAAGTGCAGGCTGGGCTTAGAAGGGGTTGTGGTACTAGGGATATTTTAGCTAATGTTAGCTGGATCTTGACTGAAAACAGGGAGTACTAGAGGAATGTCTGTGTTTCATTTGTTATGCAAAAGCGTTTGACTATGTGGATCACAACAGACTGTGGCTGACTCTGGGAAGAATGGGAATTCCAGAACACTTGATCATGCTAATGTGAAACCTATACATGGCCTAGGAAGCAGTCGTCAGAACAGAGCAAGGAAACACTGCATGGTTCAAACTTGGGAAGGGTGTACACCAGGGATGTGTCCTATTTCCATACCTTTTTCAGCCTAAATGCTGGACAGATTATCTGGGAGGTTGGACTGTATGAGGAGAAGTGTGGCAGCACGGTTGGAGAAAGATTTATCAGTAGTCTGCATGATGCAGATGATACAACCCTGCTTGCTGAGACTGAGGAGTATCTGAAGCACTTGCTATAGAAGGTCAAGGACTGCATCCTCCAATAGAGATTGAGGCTGAATATCGAGAAGACAAAGATTCTCACCACTGGGCCAATTGGCAGCATCAGGATGGTGAAGAGATTAATGTTGTTCACAGCTTTAGTTTGCTTGGCTCCACAGTCAACACTCTTGACACCAGCAGCCAGGAAATGAAAAGACATATTGTGATGGGAAAGTGTGCTATTAGGGACCTCTCCAAAGTACTGAAGAGCAATGGTGTCACTCTGGAGACTAAGGTGCATCTGATATAGGCCTTGGTCTTTGCAATCACTTGTTATGCATCAGAGAGTTGGACAGTGACTAGGGACGATAAAAGGAGAATTGATACCTTTGAGCTGTGGTGTTGGAGAAGAGTATTGAATATACCATGGACTGCTAAGAAAACGAATAGGTTCATCCTGGAGAGGTTTAAACCAGGCTGCTCCTTGGAGGAAAAGATTCTGAAGCTTTGTCTGACATACTTTGGAAATGTTGGAGAAGGATGTCATGCTTGGAACGGTGGAGGGACAGCACAGGAGATAAAGACACTCTACGAGGTGAATTGATTCAGTGATTGGGGTAATCGAGGTCAGTATATTGGCGACAGTGAGATTGGCGCAGGACAGAACAGAGTTTAGGGCTGTTATACATAGGGTCGCTATGAGTCATAGGCGACTTGATGGCACATAACAACAACATATATGTACATGTATATACATGTATACACACATATGTGTGTGTGTGTGTGTGTATATATATATATATATATATATATATGTATATATCTATGTTAAACTTTAGTTTATCTGAGAATTCCATTATAGAAGCTAATAAATTCGAATCCACCAGATGCTCTGCCAGAGAAGGAGGGACAATCTCCTCCTGTACCAGTCAGATCTGATTTGATAGTACACATGCACAAAATAATTTGTTTTTTAAATAAAAGCTACATTGAAAAACAAGGAACTCATGAAATATTACACAAAATGGGTGACCCTGGAAGACATTATGTTGAGTGAAATATCTCAGTCGCAAAAGGATAAATATTGCATAGGGCCACTGTTGTAAAACGGGACTGACATTGTGGTTGAGGGAAGACTGAGAAAGGGGATAAATGTATACTGCATTGAAACAGATGAGGGAGAGAACTGTTTAAAAGGGATATATGATTAGGTATTAGGACAAGAATTCAGCATGAAGGCTGCATGTTGGAGGGGACTTGGCGGGGGAATTGTATAACAAAGAATTTTACTTTTCAAAGAGAAGAGCAAATTGAGGGCAGGGAGTGGTCAGGGAGAAAAGTGAAACATTGAATGAATGAAAACCCTGTCTCTTTAAACTTCCATTAAAATTAATTTAAAAAAAATTTTTTAAAAAAGCTAATGAGAGAAAAATCATTCCACATTATTATTGTTCTTTTTATCTAACCCCAGTTATTAAAAGCAAGTGAAATAGAAATATCTAAATGTATTCACACAGTGGAATACTATGCATCACTCAGGAGCCACAATTTTTAAAAATGCTACGTAAATTGAGGGAGGCTGGAGAGCCTTATGGTGAGTGAATTAATTATGCTCAGTCAGATAAAGACAAATTCTGCGTAAAACCATTAATGTGAAAATAGGATAACTAGTAAAACAAGTAGGGGAACTCAAGTAGGGGAGGACTGAGGATGGATAGGGGCAAAACCACAAGGCTGCACAGTTTGGTGAGTGGAGGCTAGTGGAGAATGAAATGGGACGAATCGAGGCAAAAAGACAGGGCTATGATGGGAAAGGTCCAATGGTGAGTAATTTTATAAAGCATAATGCATGAGAATGATTCTATGAAACACAGAATGAAGAATAGTGTGAAACACAACGTATATGAACTTTGTAAGCAAACAAATTAAAAACAATACAGATACAGAAATAGTAATTTTTTTAATGATCTTTTTACGTAAAATATAAGGATATTAAACTATTAGATTTTTTAAGTGAGGCTTTAATAATTTAGCCAAAATTTTAAATATTTCAACCAATAGAAGAGACAGTTAAAAATATAGTAGAATATGAAATACTTAGGAATGAATTGGATAATATAAAGAAGATAAAAAAACATGGAGTTTCTAAAATGAGACTTGATTGAGTGGTTGGATTTATTATCTTCCTTAAACTTCAATTTAGTAATCATAAGGTATCAAATTTGCCCCAGTCAATAAATTTTGTGACATTCTAGTGGGAATATGTTGGACTATTTGAAAATGAATAGTAATGCAGAACTCAACATTATTTAATGCAAAAACATTTTCTAACACTACAGTTAAAGCAGTATGTACTTGCCTAGGAACTCGGCCCAAATTCATGGAACAGAATAACAAGTCCAGAAAAGCAAATTTTATGTGAGTAGCAGGCATGTAATGAGTCATGGACGCCTTAATGGCACCTAACAACGTTTGATACATAGATTTCATATCAAATCAGTGATGTATGATTTAAACCCACAGGAATCCTTGGGAGTGGTCACTAAGCTCTACTTTTGTCACTTTGGCAGAATGGCTTTCCTACTGCAGAGGACCAAGCTGTGGCAGAGGCAGCTCTGCAGGAAATGCGGGATCTGCTTACAAACTTGCAGCGTGAAATCACCAGAGCCTGTGAAGACAAACAAAAGCAGGAGCAAAAGGAGACCCTTGTTAAACAACAAGAATCAAAGGTGCAGCAGAAGCAAGAGTTGCCAGCTCCTAGCCAGGGCCCAAGAGGAAAACAGAAAGAAGGTAAGTTTTGGTGTGGTGTGGATATGGTCCTTTAAACCAACATATGTTAAGGTATCTCTGGTACCCTGGTGGCAAGAGGCTTTGCTGCCATCCTGAAGGTGTGTGATTCGAATCTACCTGTTGCTTCCCTGGAAAAGGAGGAACAATCTCCTGTACTAGTCGGATCTGATTGGACAGTACACAACAAGGGGGGTAGGGAAAGAAAGCATAAAATAAAATCAGCAAATGTTCAGAAGGTAAGAGGAAGCAGTGTATTTGGAATTTTTTGTTAAACTACAGCAAAAACAACTAATCAACATAATGTATTGGACTCAGTTTGGTTGATGTGGAAACTGACTTTAGATAACCACAGTTTTTATGAGGACCTCATATTTGATTTCACTATTAGGATGTTTCTCCATACCAGTTTGATCTGTATTTTGAGTAAATAATTTGAAAAGCTGAACTATAAGAAGAAGAATGTGTCCTTAAGATTGGAAGAATATTTGTTAATAACCTGCATTATTCTGAATATACAATCTTGCTTACAGAAAGTGAAGAAGCCTCGAAGAACTTATGAAAGATCAAAGATTACAGCCTTTAGTCTGACTCACATTTCAACATCAAGAAAATAAAAATCCTCGCCTACTGAATAGGAAAAATCATGATAGATGGAGAAAAGTTTAAAGTTATCAACAATTTCATCTTTTTTGCATCCACTGTCAATATCTGTTTTATTTTAAGCTAAAATTTTTCTCTTACACTCATTTATTTATAAAGTTCATGTACATTATTTTTCACACTGGATCTTTCCTATTTCCTTTACCCACCTCAACATCCATTTTAGTAGCAGCCAAGAAACAAAACCTGTTACATAGCAAAAATCTGCTGTCAAGGACATCTTTCAAAAAGACTAAAGTCTGCCTAACACAAGCTGTGATATTTTCATCTGCTTCATGTGCATCTGTAAGTTGGACAGTGAAAAGGAAAATCAAAGAAAAATCAATGCCTTTCAGTTGTTTGAGTGAAGAGTACTGAATAAACCACATGCATCCAGAAGAACAAATAAATTTATGTCGAACAGAGTGCAGCTAGGATGCTCCTTAGAGACAAGGATTGTGAAACCTTGTCTCCCATGCTTTAGACATGTTTTCGGGATGAGCCAGTCTTTGGAAAAAGACCTAGTGCTGGCAAAGGTAGAGGCTCCATAAAAGAGAGGAACACCATCAATGGGATGGATTGACACAGCGACTATAGCAATGGGCTGGAGCATGTTAAGGTGGGAAGGTGGCACAGGAAAGGGCAGAGTTCTGTTTACAGCGATAACAGAGTGTTGAGAATACCTGGCCACATAAGATATTCAATAACTATTATTAAAGCTTCTTTCTTTATTCTTCAGACCTACAGTTGAAAGTACAAGACAGTACAATGCAGTGGTACCGGAAGCTACAGGAAGCTTCACATCAGTGTGTATTGGCCTTTGAGGAACTGGCCAACAGCAAGGACAGTCAGGTAAGGGAGACGTGTACATCGAGAATTCTCAGAACCTGAAAATACACTTCACAGCTCATATCCCAGGATCGTGTTACATTCCTTTTATCTTGAGTAGCAGTATCTGCTCATCAGAATCTACCTACCTTCTCACTGTTCTCTCCTGGCAGACCAAAAAGATAAAGATGGACCTGCAGAAGGCTGCCACAATCCCAGTAAGCCAAATCTCCACCATTGCAGGTTGGTTTAAAACATTAAGAATATGGTTGTTTATTTTCTTTTTTAATATTCTAGGTCTGTTTTTCCATGAGCATCTTCTAGACAAAATATACTTGAACATATTAATAGTTGTGGTCAGAGTTATGGCTGCAGATATCACTACGGGAATTTGGGATATGGTTTCTATTCTTTATTTTTGGCTATAACATTAACTTTTTCATATATCAAGCCTGCCTTAAATACTTTAGAACTCCTTTATTTTCTCTAGAAACACGATTTAGAGAGTGAAAAACAGAAGCAAAAGGTCCTTTTCTCTCTTATTTTTTAGAAACACAGGTTTACTTTTGGTAAATTCAACCCTGCGGAATATGTGCAACTGGGAAGCTTCCTTGAGTCCTAATTTTCTCATTGAACTTATTTTTGTTTTTACCTCAGAAAGTATAGAAAAGTGCACTTCTTGCCCTTGAAAGATTACTTAAGAAAATTTACTACGTATCACTTTGGTGCTGAATAGGACGAGATATGAATAAATAAACACGTATTGCTTTCCGGAATATAAAGTGTAGTTTCCTCTGACAGCAACAACAAAGGAAGAGATTGGTAGCCATTCCAAACCTACAGTACTACCTTAAGCTTATCCAAGATCCTTACCCACTGTTGATAGCAAATAGCCTTTCCTCCTCCTTCATCAGGAAAATTGAGACCTCAGTGTAAGATCCTTAGATGCCTGCCCCTTCCTCCTCTGCACAGCTGTATTTTTACCTCATCTTACCTCCTAGTCTCCTGTTTCAGCAGAGCAGCTGTCTGTTCTGCTCGCACATGCTGTTCTGTCCCATCTCTTGATCTCATCCCCTTCCATCTCCATCAAGATTTGTTTTTTCATTCTTTTTCCCCTTCCTCTTGCATTTATTGTGATTACTCTTTTCTCCTGGTTTTTCAATATGCTTGAGACATATCCTAAAATCCTTGTATCTTGATTTTACTGAGTATTTTCATATCTGACACATTTACATTGGGTATTTTATGTTGTCCTCTTCTCTTTGAAGATTTTTACGTCTTTGATTTCTATGGTAACATTACTTACCAGATTCTCCTCTTTCCTCTCTATACTTCTTTCCTATTTGTGGATTTCTTAATCCCTTACTCTCACACATTAATTACAGAGACCAGCTTTTACTTCAGTTTTTCTTTATGCGTATCTCTTGCATTAAACTACCTGTTTATATGTGAGATTCCAGATCGCCATTGGTTCAATTACTCTTTCTTAAACTAAAGAGTCTTTAGTTCTCATTACCTCAAAGACATCTGTCTCTGCCTTGATATCTCTTTGATGCCTCAAGTTACGAGAGGAACTCATAATTTTCTCCTATTTTATAGAAATAATCACTTCCTAAGCACCTTAACTAGAAACCTGGAAATATCCTCATAATTTTTTCCTGTTTCACTCTCCATATCTAATTAGTCTCAGGTTTTACTGGTTTTCTCATTACTGCTCTTTTTTTTTTTTTAATTGGGAAAAACATATTGGGGGTACAAGGAGGTGAGGGTTGAGGGCAGAATGGTGAGGATGGGCCAGGATGCAGTTGCAGAGCTGCACAGTTTGGTCGGTGGGGGGAGCAGGTGAAGGAAATGATGAGGGTCCAGAGGGGACCAGATACTACAGAGGAATGACAAGCATTTTCCAATGGTAATTAAACCAACTGTCTTATTGATTTGGGAATTGGATGCCGACTCTCTGGCTTCTTCATGCTGAACAGGGACGTAGATGTAAAGGGGGGAAGGGAGGATGCTTTATCACCTTACTGGTGGTCTTGGGTTAAAGCTGCTTGCCTTCTTGTTCTGTTAGAAGATATTTTCCTGTCATTTGCTCCCTTCTGGACTGCAAAGTATTTTCCCAGGTGGGTCCAGTGGGGATGGCTGGTTGAACCCAGAGGCTCCATCCTCCTTTGCTTCCTTAGCTGTCAGTTGTATTTCCTTTTTGTCACTGGCACTGGGTTCAGGGTCAGTTCTGGAGTAAAACTCAGAGTTAAGGTTACCTATAGGAAAGGGAGCAAACCTAGAGAGAACAAACTTGTGAGTTTCAAATAGAAGGGCTTTGAGGGTATTGCTTTCAGGTTTACTGGCGGGGGGGAGGGTGGCAGAAGGTGGCCTAGGTAACATTGGATACCCTAGACATTCTTTTTTTTTCCTCCTTCCCCACCCAGGGGTCAATCTGGGGACAATGGCACAATCTTGGGACTGAGGAGCTCACCCTGAGGGCCGCAACGGCTCACCCCAAGCCGGGGGCCGAGGGCAGCCCGCCCCAAGCAGAGGGCCATGACGGCTCGCCCCGAGCCGGGGGCAGAGGGCAGCCTGCCCCGGGCAGAGGGCCGAGGGAAGCCCACCCCGGGCAGAGGGCCGTGACGGCTCGCCCTGAGCCGGGGGCCAAGGGCAGCCCGCCAGGGGCAGAGGGCCGCGACGGCTCACCCCAAGCTGGGGGCCAAGGGCAGCCTGCCCTGGGCAGAGGGCTGAGGGAAGCCCATCCCGAGCAGGGCAACACCCCCCAGGAGCTGGCTGGTATACTCCCCCTCCAATTGTCTCTACCCCAGTCTGGTCCCCTCACCTGACTGAGCACTCTGTGGTCAGGGATAGTGTTTCCAATTCCAGCACTGCCACTTTTACCCCCCTATAAGTGGTCATACTATATTTTGAAGTAGGTGTCACTGCCCTCCCCCTTTATATATGATAAAGGGAACCTGAGAATTGTGACCAAATTCCCCCCAGGTCTAACCATCTTTTGGCAGAAACATTCAACAGAACAAAATATGTGGTGCATTTAGGATGTCGGTTCTCTTGTGCTGCCACTGTTAAGGTCATCAGACTCACAGTCACTTTCAGCAATCCATTGCATAGGTAATCATCTTCTTTGGCCTGTCCAATGCATAGGTAATCGTATTCTTTGGCCTGTCCAATGCATAGGTAATCGTATTCTTTGGCCTGTCCAAGGAAACCCAAACCTGCAGATGGCGGTCATGCATCCCATCCCCCACCTCCTACGCAGGCAGCCAGCGGGGCGCACGCCCCCCCCCCCAGCGCAGGAGGCCTGCGGGAGGCGGGCACGCCTCCCCCACCCCGCTGCACGGTCGCCTGGCTGGTGTGTGGCCCCTCTTGTGCAGGCGGCTGGCGGGTGCCTGTTTCCCCCACAGCCACCATCCTGGCTCCAAGAATTCTCTCCAGACCAAGTCCACCTTGCAGCAGTGTGGTGGCTTCACTGTACCAGTCTTGAGGAGGGCTGGTGCCCAGCATCCATCCTGGGTGAGGGAATCCATTCATTCAGGCTGTGAAAGCCTCATGGAGCTGCAGCGGCTGTGCAGTGCGGAGAGGGCTCTGCAGCAGGGGGTTGGGAGCCACGAGACTCACCCATTTCTCCTTGGGAATCCTTGAATTCCTGTTGTTGGGCCTCGATCTTCACTGAGGGCCAGTCATCAACTGTTTAAGTGTTCAATTATCAATAAGCCGAAGTCTGTGGAAGGCCATAATGGCCTTGCTTTAAGTGGTTCACTGCTCCCGCAGCTCACCACCTGTCTCTGCCTCCGCCGCCATCTTGGATCTCCGCTGCTTATTTTTAAAATGGGTCCATTTGTTTCCATCCACTGAGGTATCCATTGATACTTTACATCCCAGTCATTCACAGAGAATGATCCAGATAGTGTTAGTGCTTGGTAAATATTGAACAAGTGAGAGGAAAAGCTGACTGACTTTTTTTCTTCTAAAGAAAGTGAATGTCTACAAGCAGATTTGGAAGAGAATTTAAATAAGGATATTTAATTTCACATCTGGTGTGGCAGATGGCAAGTGGGAGGCCATTTTATGCGTAGAATTAGGAGCAGACTTCTCCATTTGTAGAGGAGTGGAGAGAAGAATGGGGGTCAGAGAAGCAGGGATTCAGCAACTGCAGTCTTTTAAAAGCTTATATACAATAGCAGTAAAGTGTAACTTTAGGATATGAACTGGATAAATTTTATGTAAATATTTGTTTTTTTTGTTTTGTTTTGTTTTTTATTTTATTTTTGTGTGAGTGTACCGTCAAATCAGATCTGACTGGTACAGGAGGAGATTGTTCCTCCTTTTCCCGGCAGAGCATCTGGTGGATTCGAACCGTGTGCCTCTGGGATTGTAGTTGCAGCTCCTTGCCACTAGGCCACCAGAGCTCCCCCAAATATTTGTATTTTAACACATCATTATGTTTTATTTTCTGGAATTCTTAGCCCCTTTAGAGTTTCTATAAAACAAAACCTCAAACTAAGTATATAAAATAATTTCTGACTCAGAGCATCCCTCCAGCAGGTTTCTGAATCTAAACCTTGATGATGGGAGACTGCCCATCTTTCTCCCATGAGCAACTAAGCACCTTAGCTAGAAACCTGGAAAAATTGCCTTATTATTTTTTAACTCTTCTTTTTTTCTTCTCTATACCTGACTAGTCAGTTTTTGCATTTTGCTACTTACTTTTAAAAATCTGTTATGTTGTACCCTCAAAACACACACACACACACAAAATATGTCCCTGTGGGAGTTTTTATTGTTTGTAATTGTTTAGTTCTTGCTTCCTTCTGCTTTTCTGCTTCCTCGAAATGTGCTTGGTTTCAGCACAACCATCAGTTTAAATGAATTTGTGGTTTGGAGAAGATATTTCTGAGATTTGTAACATTTCTTGAAGTATTTAGGAACGTAGTGTGTTTCTAAACTGGAGATGCTGTGTTAATTTAAACTTTGCAAGTACTAGAAATCAATTTAACTCTGCTTATGAAGACGAAAAGTAATAACCGTAAAGAGAGCTTTATAGAACTCAATAGTTTGGAAACTTTTAAGTCTCAGGAGCTGGAAACTTTAGAGTCCTTTCTTATCTTCTTTCTGTACATCTCAATTCCTGTCTTAGAGGCTGCTATTCCTTGGCTCACATGGTCGGTGTAAAATGATTCCTCCATTGCCTCTAATTGTATGTGTTGTTGCTCAGCTAGCCATGTCAGGGAATCTGCTCTGGAGTCAATTGGCTGGTTCAGCTTAACTACCACCAAATTTTACAGTAACTGATGTGGTAATGGGATCTTGTAATACAAAAGGAACTGTTAGGAACTCATACTGGGTCTCTGAGGATGGAGACAGACAGATGTTACTAGGTACCATTTTGTCAACAACTACAGTTTGTGCTTTCCTTGTGAACCTTTGCCCTATCCTATGCCATCCTCACAATCGCCACCATGCTAAAGTCCATTGTTAGCAGTCACTGTATCAATCCATCTTGTTAAGGAAATCATTGGCAATTTCAATCATTTCTCCATCTATCATGATGTTGCCTATTGATCCAGTTAGAATGGAAAAAACCTTTAGAATATTTCTCTTAGAGGTAGGAATCACTCCTATAGGGATACTAACCACACAGCCTTTGGCTCTATGCACACTGCACTATTTTCTTTTTCTCTGTGTTTTTGTTAGTTTCAGATTTTTATGCATTCTCAAATAGGTTGTAAGCTCCTTTGGAATAGTTCCATGTGTTTTCTTTTGTTTTTAGCCTCTGATCTTCTATAGAGCTGGATTTATATAGATATCTTATATGATGAAAAGGAGACTGATCTGTGATTTTGTCTTTTGTGATTTTAACTTTGTCTCTTATCAAATCCAGGTTTGAAACTGAAGGAGATCTTCGACAAGATCCATACCTTGCTCTCCGGAAAACCTGTTCTGTCTCCTGGACGCTCTGTGTCTGTCACACTTAATCCACAGGCTCTGGACTTTGTCCAGTACAAACTTGCAGAGAAATTTGTAGTAAGAGATTTTGTTTCCAGCCATTTGGGGAGATCTGGTATACAGTATTTAAACATTTCTCAGATAGTGACTTTAATTGTACCCGTCTTTATTTCCAGAAACAAGGAGAGGAGGAGGTGGCATCTCACCATGAAGCAGCATTCCCCATCGCAGTAGTGGCATCTGGGATCTGGGAGCTTCACCCCAGAGTAGGAGACCTCATTCTTGCTCATCTACATAAAAAGTGTCCGTACTCTGTCCCTTTCTATCCACCTTTCAAGGAAGGAATGGCTTTGGAAGATTATCAGAGGTAGAGTTGTTTTCTCCTTTGAGGATCATTTTCCTTATTTGTAGATGAGTGTAATGATATCCATTACCTACTGTGAGCATACCTCACAGCACTAATATGAAGTACTAATTAGATAATAGAAACTCTTCTGGCATGGTGATGGAACACTCAGCTGTTAACCAAAAGGTCTGTAGGTCAGTTCAACCAGCTGTTCTGCAGGTAAAAGACAAGTGAGTTGAGTTCCATAAAGATCACAGCCTTATCCTAAAGAAACCAGAACTGCCACCCAAGCACATATATGTTCACCCATGTTTATTGCTGCTTTGTTCACAATAGCAAAGAGTTGGAAACAACCCAAGTACCCATCAACAAACGAATGGATGGAGAAGCTGTGGTATATTCCTACAATGATATATTATGCAGCACTGAAAAACAAAGAATTAATGAAATACTATGCAGAATTGGTGACCATGGAGGACATTATGCTAAGTGAAAAGGTCTCAGTCACAAAAAGACAAACACTGCATAATGCCACTATTATAAAACAGGACTGACATGGGGGTTGGGAGAAACTAAGAAAAGAGGGAATAAACAGATGAGAAAGAGAACAATATAAAAGGAATATATGGCAATCCCAGAGGTGTGAGATTTGAATCTACCAGATGCTCTGCTGGGGAAGGAGGGACAATCTCCTCCTGTACCAGTCAAATCAGATTTGACGGTACACACACAAAAAAATAATAAAAGGTGTTTTGTTTTGTTTTTTTATAAAAGGGATATATTCCAGCAAGATAAAGGTAAATAATTAAAGAAAATTAAAGGGTTGAACAGAAGATTTCAAAGGGCAGCTTGTGAAAACAGAATTACGTATTATATAACAAAATGTGCGAAGAGCTGGAGTCAGAAAAGAAAAGGGAAGAACTCACTTGGTATTCTGAATGAAGTAATTAAAGAACAAATTCAAGCCTTTTGTTGCAATACTTAAAGATACTGTAAGCAAAATACTGAATGATTGAGAAAGTACCAAAAGAAAATGAAAGGAATACACAGAGTCACTATACCAAAAATTAGCTGACACAGAACTATTTCAAGAAGTAGCATAAGATAAAGGAGGGAATTCAAACTTCTCTGAAGAAATCAGCAAAAAATAAAGCCCTCACCACAACAAGATAAACGTGAATAATCCAATAGAAAAATGGGCACAGGATATGAACAGACATTTCACCAAAGAAGACATTCAGATGGCCAACAAGCACATGAAGAAATGTTCAAAATCCCTAGCTCTAAGAGAGATGCAAATCAAAACAACTATGAGATACCATCTCACCCCAGTCAGAATAGCAAAATTTAACAGAACAGCAAGCAACAAATGCTGGCGGGGTTATGGAGAGACTGGAAAATGGTGCAACCACTGTGGAAAGTGTGGCGCTTTCTCAAAAAGTTGCAAATAGAGATACCATTTGAGCCAGCCATTCAAATACTGGGAATATTTCTCAAAGAGACCATAACTGACATCCAAGCAGATACATGCAAACCCATGTTTATCGCGGTTTTGTTCACAGTAGCAAGGAGTTGGAAACAACCCAGGTGCCCATCAACAAACGAATGGTTAGAGAAGCTGTGGTATATTCACACAATGGAATACTACACTGCATTGAAAAACAAGGAACTCATGCAATATTATTCAAAATGGGTGACCCTGGAGGACATTAAGCTGAGTGAAATATCTCAGTCGCAAAAGGACAAATATTGCATGGTGCCACTGTTGTAAAATGGGACTGATATCAGGGTTGGGGTAAGACTGAGAAAAACTGGATAAATTGTGTATACTACACTGAAACAGATGAGGGAGTGAATCATTTAAATGCGATGTGTGATAGAGTATTATGGTTATCACAAGAGTTCACAATTAAGGTTGCATATTGGAATGTACTTCGGGTGGCGGGAGGGGTATGGGGGGATTGTGTCCCAGGGAGGGAATGTTTCTTTTACTTTTGAAAGAGACGAGCGAACTGGGGAGGGGGGAGGGCTGGGCGGGGAGAGAAGTGCAGCAATGAATGAATAGAAATCCAAAATCTCTGTAAATGCTCATTAAAATTATTTTAAAAAAATAAAGCTTAAGAAAAAAAAAGGGATATATGATTAGGTATTATTGGCATGGCAAGTGAAATAAGAGCTGCATAGTAAAGTGTACTGAGGGACAGAGATACTGTATAACAATGAAAGAATTATTTTTCCAAAGAAAAAAGTGAACTGGGGGGGCGGGGCAGGGAGGAACATGTGCAACAATGAATGAATGGAAATCCAAGTTTTCTATACACTTTCATTAATATCTCAATAAAAAAATAAAAATAATCATAGCCTTGAAAACCATATGTAGCAGTTCTGTCCCATATGGTTTCTGTAAATCAGATCACTTGGGGAAAATAAGATAATGGATATACGTGCTCAATAAATGACGTGTTCTACAAATGTATTGGTCTATAACAATGTACTGATGATTTAGTTTAAAAGTAATAATAAAAAGTTACTTTTAGCCACATAAAAATTATTAATAATCTCTTGACTTCTTAACCTCATTTTGGCTTTCTTACATTGAATTTTGTCTTCCCACATAGGATGCTTGGCTACCAAGTGCAGGATTCCAAAGTGGAACGGCAGGACAACTTTTTAAATCGTATGTCTGGAATGATCCGTCTTTATGCTGCCATTATTCAGCTTCGGTGGCCATATGGAAATCAACAAGACGTAGGTAGACCTGTAACGAGAGATAGGCCAGAATCCTTATTAGTGCACTCCCCCTGCAGGAGAAAATTCTCTTCTTTGGGAGAGGGCATTCTGTGATAAGATGAGAAGTACATTGGTACTTTATAGATGATTTTTTAAAAATTATTATTATCAGTGTGTGTGTGTGTGTGTGTGTGTGTGTGTACCATCAAATTAGATCTGAGTGTGTGCAGGAGGAGATTGTCCCTCCTTCTCCAGCAAAACATTTGGTGGATTCAAACCACACTCTGGGATTGCAGTGCAGCTTCTTGCCACTAGGCCACCAGAGCTCGCCTATATTGTTGTTGTTGTTGTTAGGTGCCGTCGAGTCGTAGGTAACTCATAGCTACCCTATGAACGAAAGGCCTGAGCACTGTTCGTACATAGAGTTTCCGGAGGCAAGCCATTTTGGAAGTGGGTGCCGCTCCTGCTTCCAGGCTTGTTTTAGTTGGGAAGCTCCAGCCACCATGGGTACTCAATGGCACTTAACAACAATCCGAGCCATTGAGATCTTATTCTTTTTATAATGATTTAGAATCATTATAAATTGAGAAGATAATGTGTCATAAACTAATCGTTAGGGTTAAAAGATTTTGTTAGGAGAATGAGCAGGAAACTGGCATATTAGAGTTAGATGGAGTTTAGAGTTTATCTAGTGCATATGCCATCCTTCACAAGTAGAAAAGTAACATTCAGAAAGCTGTAATAGTACATAGCTGTTAATGACAGAGCAGAGACTGAGGTTTATTGCTTGGATCTGCCAGCCTGTTCTTCTCTTGGGGAAAGATGGTTAGAGGGATTGGGAAGCTAAATGAACTTGGCAAAATGAAGGAAAAGGAACAGAAGTTGACTGAATCTTAGAATTTTTATTGTGCATCTGCTCTGGCCCAGGCTGTGTGCTAGGGAACCAAAACTAGATGTGTCCAATGATCTAGTCTTCTTGGTAGTAGCAGGATTCATGGCCTTAGGAGATCAAATCATGACCAGATTCTCTCTTCCTAGATTCACCCTCATGGTTTAAACCATGGCTGGCGCTGGCTGGCACAAATCTTAAACATGGAGCCCCTGTCAGATGTGACAGCCACCTTACTCTATGACTTCTTAGAGGTAAGCATTTAACACATAAAAAAAGCTTAGTTGAAGCAGACTTGAACCACTGGTGTGAATAGGAAAATGTTATAAAAGTAGTCTTAAAAAAGAATATTGGAATGAATACGCAAAAAAAAAGTAGTCTTAATTTTTTTTTCCTTAGTCTTCAGATAAATGTAGCTTTTGTTTTTATCCAACTTTACTTTCTCAGTGTGAATGTGTTTTCATTGCAGTGAGCAGAAAACTCTCTTAGTCCAAGTTAAAAGGAGAATTTGTGTTAGCATTGGAGAAGTGACTCCAGAATTAACAGGACCTGCAATGTCACCAAATGCCAAGACCTTCTGTCTCTGGATTGCATGACCTTTCATATATATATATTTTTTCTCCCTTCAGGTTGCCTTATTCTTCTTCAGTAGTCCAAGTTTCTGTATCTCTCTGTCCATAGAGAAGATGGCCACCCCTGACTAGTACTCTCAGTCTCAGTATAGTTACCCACTTTTCTAGGGTCTCTCTACTCTGATTTCTCATTTGTAGTAAAGGAAGTGTGACTAGCAAGTTTTAGTCCATTATCTACCCCATTCTAAAAGTCTTTTTTACTTTTAGAAGACTAGTTTTTAAAAGAAGCATTTCTCTTTTTTTTCTTTCTTTGTTTATTAGTTTATATTATACCAGATGGGTAAAGGCTTTGGGGGGCAGTGGGGCACACTCAGTCTTTCTTCATGGTGGCCAGGACATTATTGAGTTCTTCTCACTTTTGGTGTGGATGTGTGTCCCCTCCCTTTTCTTGAACATGAGGACCCGCTTGTCCTTGGAGGCTGTGAGCTGCACTACGGCTCGGCACTTGTAGGCACACCCTTCCCACATCATGTTCTGTATGAACTTGGTGTGCTTCGTGAGGCACCCTTGGTGGCCACTGTGCCTCACTTGGCTCATATTCTTCGTTACTTTATGGCCATTCTTGAAGCCCACAGCCATGGTTACTATGCTTCTATGACTGCCAAAAAAGAAACATTTCTTTTTTTAAAAAAAACCAAAAAACAAAACAAAACAAAACAAAAAAAAATATATATATATATATTTTTTTGTGTGTGTGTGTGTGTGTACCATCAAATTGGATCTGACTGGTATAGGAGGAGATTGTCCCTTCTTCTCCATTAGAGCATTTGGTGGATTTGAACCGCATACCTCTGGGATTGCAGTGCAGCTTCTTGCCACTAAGCCACCGAAAAAAGAAACATTTCTTAAAGAAGAAAGATGCAGAACACATGCCTTACAAATCTTAGACTGTATGCTGTATATAATACCAAGAGTCCATGATAACTTTGATAGCACCTGAAGTCAATACTTCTACTAGTGATCCTGGAATATTGAGAACATTGTGCTATTCTGTACTTTACTTACTAAGATTGGAAGTCTGTTATTACCTTTAAGAAGTTTCTGTTCATTTGAACAAAATAAAGTAGGTGATTTATTTAAATTCCTGAAGTACTTGGCCCTCTGAAGTATTTCTATAAACACAAAAGTGCTTTGGAAGAAGCTTCAGTTTTTCCATTAAAATTCCTTGGTTAACTAGCTAGATGACATTGTGCTTAGGTTCACGTGGTGAAAGGTGAAGAGCTGATTGTGGGTCTCTTATGAATGTGAATTTTCATTTTCTCTTCTGCTAATGTTTATCTTTGCCTGTAGGTGTGTGGCAATGCTCTCATGAAGCAATACCAGGTCCAGTTCTGGAAGATGATAATTCTCATCAAAGAGGACTACTTCCCCAGGTATCAGGGTTCAGTTCGTAAAACTCATAACATAAGCAGCAGATCCCTTACATGATGTTGCTTGCTATATTTGATTCTGGCCAAAACAGATGGATTAAATACTTCCCTACTATCCTCCTCAATATTTAAGTAAATACTTTTGATCTCTAATGGCAGTATTTCTTAAATATTGTTGTCTAAATACAAACAAAAAAGCAAATTGGTAAGATCTTAGATTAAGATTCCTTTTTTAATATTTAAAATATTTTCATTCTCTTCTCTTTTTCCACCACCACCAAGATGATACTCTGAAGTGATGACTTGATGTCATCAGTTAAGCCAAAGAGTCAAGTACCATCAACAAATAAAACTTGTTAAAACTGATTTATCACCAGATGCTCTGCCGGGGAAGGAGGGACAATCTCCTCCAGTACCAGTCAGATCTGATTTGACAGTACATGCACACAAAAATTAAAAAAAAAAACAAAACTGATTTATCAGCCAGTTTGCTTGACCGCCTTGTGTCATTCTCTGAGTACCTGTCTCTTTTCTTCAAACTTTCAAGTGGTAGAGGAAAGACCTTAGCAAAACCCATTCTATCTCATTACAAAGACCTTGGGAAAGAACAATGCTGTTTTCATCCCCTTATTTGAAAAGATTAGGACCATTTGCAAGAGCAACAACATCCTTAGACCAAGATATCTCTATGAGCCATTTCATTTACCCTTTCACTATAGAACAACAAGGTGTATAACTCCTCTTAGTAAGATAAATTTCATGCATATGTTTCCTTTTTCTCCTTGTCTACTTCCCCAGAATTGAAGCTATCACAAGCTCAGGACAGATGGGTTCCTTTATACGTCTCAAACAGTTCTTAGAGGTAAGATACCCTTAAACCAATCCTTAGTCCCAAGCGGTTGTCGGTCTAGCATATTCCTACATCTGACAAGTATTAGACTTTAAATGTGATTACAATCTTTTTAAGTTTTTCTGAGCCCCTTTTTATTGTTCATGATGCTCCCTTAACTTTTAGAGTCACATCTACCCTTATATCTTCGTGCATATATTTCTCTTGTTAAATATTAGAAGCAGAATTATCAGAAAAAATCATTCTATTCTTTCCATCTTTCCCTGACCAGAAATGTTTGCAACAAAAGGAGATCCCGGTCCCCAGAGGCTTTTTGACTTCTTCCTTCTGGCGTTCCTGATGTCAGCTCCATCATTCACGGTCACCGTTATGTTGCTCTGTTTGTAAAGAATCAATAATAAAGCAACTGAAGACAGTTGTATTTGGAATAAGTCATGTCATATCACATTTAAAAATTTGTTAATGGATGTTTTCAAATACTTGTATCTTTTGAACAGGAGAGTAGAATTTCATGGGTCATGAAATCTAGGTGGTCCAATGTGGAATTAAAAGAGGACAGTGGATGAGCTAGGACATGTTCAAGACTGACAGTCTGTCAGTCTGATAGAGGGAAAACTTGCATGCTAGTGGAGTAAAGCCTTGCCTGTAAGACTCTGAAAAACGTTGGGAACATGTTCCTTGAAAAACTAGTGGAGAAGATGTTTGTTCTGAGCTAATTTTCTTTATGAAATGTTTGCATCACCTATTACAACTGATACCATTTTTTTTTGTTTGTGGTGGTGTTTAAAGATCTTGAAAATTAAAAAAAAAAAAAAGATCTTGCTTAAAAGCTTGGCCTGTACTAAATAAAGTTACTTAAAATTCTGTAAGTATTTGGGCCCTTGCACCCAACTATTTTATGTCTATCTTTTCTTCTTTCTTCTTTTTGAGTGGGTAAAGTACAAGTTTTATTTTCTCAGCTAGCACATAGAGGCAGGGGATGTAAGCTTCCCACATCTGTCTCAGTTTATCTTCTTAAGTGTCTCTGATTCCTAAGTCTTGAACCTGTGGTAGAGCTGGACTCTACAGTCCCTTAGAAGATTTGATAGCTTTTTAAGAGGTTCACATTATAGACTTAAATGAAATTGGCCTTTCTTAGTTCAATAAAAGAAGTAACGAGAAGAGGTATTTGGCACATAGTCTCATCTTTTATTTTCCCTTTGTCTCGGACATCTCGCAAAAAAAAATAGATGTTACATGTAACTAATTTTGAGCTAAAATGACTCTAACATTTTACTCTTCTTCTACACCACTGTTCCAAAGAATTATCAGAAAGAGCAAAGACCCCCTTTAAAATATACTTTATTAGTTAAAATCTAAATATTTACATGCAAATTTGAGTTATGGTTGTTTGCCTTCCTCAGTATGTGACCCATTTGTGACTTGAGTACAAAGTGTGGTGTAGACATAGACTTTAACCAGATTTCATCAGTCATAGCTCAAGGTCTGGGATTAGGATTATTAATGCATGTATCTTGAACTAGAAAGTACTGTCAATTTAGAGTTAGTCCCTGGATGTTAGGAATTCATTACCTAGGGCAGGTGTGGGGTTTTTGTTTTGTTTTGTTTTTCAGTTTGCATTAAAATGGACTGACACGGCACTTTTTTTTGGGTGGGGGTGCATCTGTAAGTCATTATTTGGAGTTAAATAAGGATGTTAGGGGAAAATTCAGAACAGCATTACCATTTTTCACTTGTTCTGAGTATTGAATGATGATAAATATGCTTAACTAAGGCTATTGACAAATCCAAAGTTTGACTATTCTGCTAAGAAATGACATTTGTTTTGTCAGAGTCCACAGCTGCGGATCTTCTGTGTTAAATATCATGTATATAGGTGGGTGGGTGGGTAGGTACTGGTTTGAAGCAATCCATTTTCTGAATCATTTTCATTTTTTGTTTAATCCTATGCCTTCTTGATTATAGTCCAGAAATTAAGTAATAAAGCTTAATTTTTTTAAATTCACCTGTGCCTTGAGTTATGTAAGTTATTAGAATCATGATAGTGCACCAGACTAAGTAAACCTTTTAATGTATTTTTCCTTTTTTGGTCTTGATCTTCACTTTAGACAAATTGTCCCTATTTGTCACTCTTTTTTATTATTATTATTTGTCACTCGTTTATATAGAATTATAGAACATGGTATTACATGCCGTCAAGCTGGTTACTATTCATAGTGACCTCATGAACAACAGATAGAACCTTGCCACATTCTGTAGCATCCTCACTATCTCCACCATGCTCAAGCACATTTTTGCAGTCACTATTTTATTCTATCTTATTGAGGGTCTTCCTCTTGCTGACCTTTTGTCTTTCCCAGCACCATATCTTTTTTTAAATGACCAGCCCCTCCCAACAACATGTCCAGAGTATGTGAGGTAAAGTTCCACCATCCTTACCTTTAAGGAACACCCTGTGCAACAAATTTATTTGTTCTTTTGGCAGTTCATAGAATATTCCTCTCTGCCAATACCACAATTAAAAGGCTTCAATTCATCTTTAAATACTTATGAAGCAATTGAAAATACCAATGCTTGGCTTAGCTGCACCATAGTCTTTAAACTGAAATCCATACTCTTTAGTACTTTAAAGAGGTCCTTTCCTGGTTTTGGTTGTGTGGGTTTTTTTTTCCTTCCATATTGTTGAGCCATGCAGAACATGTTCTGTTTAAGCAACTGCTTCTTGGTCTATTTGTAAGTTTGTCATAAACACAATTAAGTTTTCTGGGATTCTCATTCTGTTCTATTATCCATAAATTATGATCTAGACAATCCAATACCTTTATTTAGTCAATAAAACACAATAACATCTTTCTGATATATTCTGCTTTGGGCCAAGATCTATCTGACAATAGCAGTGCTATTCCACAGTCTCTCTTGAATCCATCTTGAATTTCTGGTACTTGCCTGCCTACTGTAGAATAAGTAATGCACTTTAACAGATGTGATGATACCAAGGTTTTTAATGTAGACATGATCGATTAAACATGGAAAATCTTGAGACATGTTCTTAATTCTCTTTTGGGTTTGTGACCTTAGATCATTAACTCTCTGAACTCTAGTATCCCTGCTTGTAAAACAAGAGTTATTCTATTTACTGAATCAGTCGTTTTCAAATTTTCCTCTGTAGCTGTGATGTGGGGCCAACCTTACCAGCTGGTATGTGATAGGTCCTGATCTCCTTAAGCTCTGTGTTCCCCATGGCCAGTTGCCATTTTCACTCCTTTGCAAATAACATCATTTGCTATGTTCATCATGGCAGGAAATAGATTGGAAAGTACTGATTTAAGGAAAAGTGTTAGCATATGGAGGCTTTGTACAATCAGAAAAAGGTACTCCTTCAAGATACTACTGCCATCTGCTTGAACATTATAACTAGGAAGTACATGGTTACCACTTGAGTTGTACACTTTACTTTCTGTACAACCATTAAATGGAGCCCCAGTGGAGCTCGGGGATCCTTTCTGCCATAGCATTTTTGCTTTATATGTTTAGGTTCTATGTAAGACTGTGGAAAGAATTCCACTGCTAAAAATGAAATGTTAAAAAAAAAATCACTAGACAAATGAACTTTAAAGTCGCGTTCATTTTAAATCTTTACCACCCCACAGGAAATGGTTCTTAAAGTACTTGACAATACTTTCTCGCCATATTTAACAATTTTGTGCATGTCATTTGATATTTGATATTCCCCGTAAATTTCCCTGGTAAGCTGAGAAAGGAAAGCACTAAAAAGGCCATGTTTTTGATAACTCTGACAGTGTCACCGTCATAAAAAATATTTCTAGCTGATGGATATGATGACTCTTCATGGATACTATAATCAGATTATTTAAAATGTAATGCTAAGGACAGTATTTAGTTTTTAATTCAAGTACTCACTTGCTGGCTTATTTCCTGTCAAACTTGACCTCATTTCATAGGCTAAGTGCCCATATTTTTGTCAATCATTGTCCTATATTATCTTAAGGAAAACATTAAGGATTTCAGTTGTACAGAAGTGCTATACATCCTTTGTATAGAGGAATCAAGTTCTTCTGGAGATTTCCCACCAAATCCTGAGAGTCCTCCCCTACTTTGCAAGCGTCTTAGGGTGATAACAGGGACAGAATTAGGTTTACTGTCTTATCTTACTGTCAGGACAGCCAAAACAGAGCCACAAGGCTTACCTACTTTTTTTAACATCAATTATATACTATAGTGGATGAGTCAAAATAGCTTTTCAAGTCATTGGCTTTGACTAGAGGGCAAAAATCCCCTACTGTTTTCGAGGCAATTCCAACTCATAGTGACCCATCATCTGCTCTGCAGACCAGATGGTAGATTCAGATTGTTGATATTTTGATTAGCAGGGCCACATGTAAAGGCCAGGTAGTGGCTTTGTGCCATCAAGTCAGAACTAACTCATAGTTGACCCAATAATTTTCAGAGGCAGAAATCTACATAGGAAGAGATTGTCCATAGTTCTGCCTCAGATTAGCTGGTGGATTTGAAACACCTACCTCTCTTTGAAGAGATTAAAGAGAGATTACTAAATCTGAACATTCACATTAAGACAGACTAGGAAGAAGGACTGGCCATCACTTCTGAAAAAGAAGGCCCCTGAAAACCCTATGTACAACAGAACACATTTAGATAACAGAAAAGGCAAAGGAGGTTGAGTTTTCAAGTATGGAAATACAAAAGAAGATGTACAGTTGTATGCAGACACTGGTGATTGGTACATGGAATGTGAGAACAATGAATGTAGGAAAATTAGATATTGTTAAG